CAGTGGGAGAGAGCCAAAGCATAAGAGAGTCTTAAAAACTGAGAACAAACTGAGGGTTGATGGGGGGTGGGAGGGGTGGGAGGGTGGGTGATGGGTATTGAAGAGGGCATCTTTTGGAATGAGCACTGAGTGTTGTATGGAAACCAATTTGAGAATAAATTTCATATATTGAAAAAAAAAGATTCACTTAATTACATTTGGCTAAGGGTTTCATGGAGTCTATAGTGAAGTGGGAATGAAAGTTGGTATTAGTCTCATTGTATATTTATTGTAAACTTTGTGCATGATTAGATATACTACTTGGTATATTCCATATACCACTGAATTCCTAAAGAAAAATGTGCTATATATATACAACATCTCCATATATTATTGCAGAGAGGCACTGGATTTAGTGGGTCCCATCTAGCAATTCTAGTTTCTAGGGTAGACACAGAAAAGCAGTACTGTTTACAGAATCCTAGACCTAGTTGGCTTTTGTTTTTTTTTGTCTAGGTGTGCCACATAAATATTTGTACTTCAGGTAATCGTGTTTCAGTCTTTGAGCAAGGGTGGTCATTTTCTTATGAAAAAGTTTACAGTTTTCAGATCTTCAAGCAGCAGGGAGTTGGAGGTTTACAAAGAATCAAAGTGCAGTTAAAGTCAATATTCAAAAACAGATCTAGAAAGAAATCATTCATTTTGAAATTCAATACCTTTTGAAGGATATGAGTTTGTATTTTTTTTAAAACCTGGCGGAACAGAAAAATAATTAACTCTTTGGAGGGTATGAAACCAGTGTGCCAAGAGAATAAAAATATTACCACTTTGCAATTTTTTCTAGCAAGTTTCTTTGGACTTACTAATATTACAGTGAACTGGATGTCAAAGAGAGCCACCTTGAAGAAGTACAGAATTAATTTTATGGATTGCATTTTAACTTTTCAAATTCCAATTTATAATGTCCTATTACCTGATTTAGTTTGGTCACCGACCTAGGACCTGTGGGTCTTTTTAAATTAAGGAAATATATTGAACCCAATACTATCCAGAATGGGACAGGGACTAGATTCTCTCCCTACACGGCCATCTCCCTTACAAGTGTTGGGATTACTGTCTTCTTCAAAGTCACTGCAATGTTAGCAGGAACAAATACATGAATTACTTTCTCTAATTTTCTTATTTGTGAATGCCAGGAGATAACAATCAAATGTGAAACTTAGGCATTGATTTTCCAAATCTGAAGAGTTAGCCTTGAACTATTTTTTGTTGTTTACGAATTAGTCTGCTATGTTAATTGGAAGTTTTCTGCCTTAATGCTTTGAAGTTTATGTTTGGATTCTTTTCTCAGTCATGTCTCATGCACTCAGACATGCACAACCAAAGGTAAGATTTGTAATTTAATTAGATGGCATCTTATTGATTTTTCTAGGATTAGCTTAATTAGTCAAGTGTGTCCACCTCTAATATTAACATGCCAGGCAGATAGATCTTTTCAAGGAGATTCTATCTGGCTGATTTAATACATGAACTATCTAACAGGCTGTATATATAGCGTTCCAAGTTAGAACACTAAGGCAGAATTTGACATAAAACCATAAAAAAACATTTAGTGTTGAAAACAGAAATTCTTCTGTGAAACAAACATGATATGAAACTTTCCCCCCAAGATTTCATTATAAAAAAATTCAAATAAACAGAAGAATCACAAGAATTTTACAGTGAGTACCCACTTTTTATAGTGAACACCTAGATTCTGCTATGAACATTTTATTCTACCTG